CAGGCTGCTGGGGAAAAGAAAGTTGGGTCTCCCCATTGTGGGCGCTGACCTCAAGCCGTGCTTGGGTAAACTACCACAGAAGAGCCTGGACTTCAGGCACCAGGTACCCCAGGTCCCCATGGAGACCAGCAGGAGTGAGGAAAGGTGGTTGCGGTCGGGCGGGGTGGGCAAACGCCCAGCTAAGTCAGCCAGGGCCAGCTAGGCCCTACCCTTGGCAGAATTACATAATCTTTTTCTTTGGCTCTTATTTGAGGTTTGGTCCCCAGCATTCCCTCTGGGAGCCTGTGGACCAGGGTGGGGCTGGCTATCTCTTGCCCACTCTTTCCATTTAGGACCCATGTGTTCAAGCAGGCTGGTGTCAGGCTAGAGGCTGTTTATTTTGGGTTAAGGGCTATATTTACCTTGTGAAGCTGCCTGCAATCTGATCTGATCTGATCTCTCTGGGACTCTGCTGGGGCCCTGGGAGTCAGCTGCCAGATCTACGAGGCCCCCTAACTTTGCTGTCCCCACCCGCGGGTAGATTTCCCAAGCAGGAAACATCCTGGAAAAAGCATTGGCTTTTATTCCTATGACATTTCCATCAAGTTCCATGCTTGTGCTAATGGTTCCTTTCTTCTCACTCAGAATCATTCTTTCACACAGCCTTGTGGCATTGAACTTGGTCCCAAATGTGGGAACGGCACATACAGCCTGCTTGTGTGGCTGGAGTTCCAGGAATCATAGGGTCAAGCAAGGCTAATGGGGTTTCTTCCAGAGCAGGGCAGCAAGCCCCTTCCTCTTCCTTGAAGGGATCAGACTCTCCCCAGCCTAAGACCTCAGGGAGGGCTGGCTAATTTTGGTTGGGTATGTCCCACCAGCTGCTATTTTCTGGCCCTGGAGCCTCTGACAAATGGCATGGAGCTTGGTGATCTCTGTCCTGTGGAGGTGACCATCTGGCCAGATGTGGTTTGGGGTATGGAATGGGGAATTGGAACAGGGGTGTACAAGGTCAGCTGTCTCTAACCTCAGCTGAGAGTATCCAGAACTATTTCTTTTCTACTTCAAGCTCTGTGTTTTTCTCTCTTTTCTCTCTCTCTCTTCTTTTTTTTTTTTTTTTTTTTTTCTTAGAGATAGGGTGTCCCTATGCTGCTAAGGCTGGCCTTGAACTCCCGGGCTCAAGTGATCCTTCCACCTTGGCCACTTGAGTAGCTGGGACTATAGGCACGTGCCTAGCCTATGTGTCCTCCTGAATAATGGTATTACTAGTAATCATTGACATTTAAGTTTATTACATACCAGGTCTTGTTCTAAGGGCCTCATACAACGCAAACAAGTGTTGTAACAAGCAAACAAATTGGCCCATTGTGTAGATGTGGCAGCTGTGGCACAAAGAGGTTGAAATCCCTGTCCCAAGTCACCAGCTTGGTGAGTGGTGCATGACCTGGTTTTCATCCCGCTGTATGGTGTGGGCTTGTGCTCTCAGCCACTCTAGGGAAGGAGATATACCCTTAGGAGTGGCTAGAGTGCAAGTGAGCACTAGGTAGGGGACAGATTGAGAGTGTACACCGGCTCAGCGCCTATGGCTCAAGTGGCTAAGTCGCCAGCCACATACACCTAAGGTGGTGGGTTCGAATCCAGCCCGGGCCCGCCAAACAACAATGACGGCTGCAACCAAAAAAAATAGCCAGGCGTTGTGGCGGGCGCCTGTGGTCCCAGCTACTTGGGAGGCAGAGGCAGGAAACTCACTTGAGCCCAGGAGTTGGAGGTTGCTGTGAGCTGTGATGTCACAGCACTCTACCCAGGGGGAGAGCTTGAGGCTCTGTCTCAAAAAAAAAAAGAGAGAGTGTATACCTGTGTGCAAGCCCTGCACACACACTCTCAGAGCCTGACCTGCCTGAGGGTTCCAGACATTTCTGGTGAATGGGTAAGCAAGCAAGTAGATAGCAGGAGACCTGGGTAGACCTCAGGCAGCCAAGCAACAGCCTCTGGTGCTTGTCCTTTCTCAGATTTCAGGTTCCGGGGCAGCAGGCCAAAACAGGAAGAGGAAGTACCGGGGGTGGGGAGGTGGCGAGAGACACCGACTGCTCGAGGGGGCCCCCCTTTTCCAGGTATGGGCAGGCCTGGGGCAGAGGCCAGGAGAGCCATGGGATGCAGCCCTTAATGTGCTGAGCCCTGCCCTCGTGGCCTGCTCCTTGCAGTGCCCTTCACCCGCATGTACTAAGAATCCTCGGGGTTGGCTTTAGGCCACGAGTGATCTCAAAAACAGTCAAAATCCTGATGGCACTGCCCCAAATTTATATGAGCTTGAAATGTTTTATAAACTCCTGGGTTGAAAAGTACATAAATTGTCAATTGTGCGAATTCTTAGGCAAAAGCCTATGAATCCCATTGCTGTTCTCTACAGAGTCTGAAGAATAAGAATATACATATCTAGATGCTTTAAGGAGAATACCTACTGTTTTCACCAGATTCTCAGTGGTGTCCGACACCACGTCAGCTCTAGACTGGGTCTTGACCAAGGTCATAAGAAATATGAAATGGGCAGTTCTTGATCTAGAACCCAGGTCTGCCCATTTGGCCCTGAGTGCCTGTTCAGCAGGAGGGCAGAAACCCTGGAAGAATTTCATGTAAACAAAGTGGGGTTGGGGAGCATGGCGCTCATAGCTCAGTGAGTGGGGCACCAGCCACATACACCAAGGCTGGTGGGTTCGAGCCCGCCCAGGCCTGCTAAAATAACAATGACAACTGCAAACAAACAAAAAAAAGCCAAGCATTGTGGCGGAGGCTTGTAGGCTCAGTTACTTTGGAGACTGAGGCAAGAGAATTGCTTAAGCCAAAGAGTTTGAGGTTGTTGTGAGCTGTGATGTTATGGCACTCTACTGAGGATGACATAGCAAGACAGTCTCAAAATAATAATAATAATAATGATAATGGGCTTGGGGGTAAAGTTTGTCACCTGAGTGATTTTAAAAAGCTTGCCTTTTTTTGGAGACAGAGTCTCACTCTGTTGCCCCAGGCTAGAGTTCTGTGGAGTCATAGCTCACAGCAATCTCAAACTCTTGAGCTTGAGCAATCTTTTGCCTCATCCTCCCAAGTAGCTGGGTCTACAGGCACCAGCTGTAATGCCTGGCTAGTTTTTTTATTTTTAGTAGAAACTGGGTCTCAACTTAACTTTTTCTTGAACTCCTGAGCTCAAGCAATACACCCACCTCAACCTCCCAGAGTCTTAGAATTACAGGCATAAGCCACAGTGCCCAGTCTCAAAGCTTGCTTTTATTGAGGATTTATTATATGCTAGGTACTAAGTGTTTTACATGGATTAGTTTACTCCTCACATCAACCCTCTGGGGCATGTGCTGTTATTCCCATTTTACTGATGTGGAAACTGAAGCACAGAAAGTCAAAGGAACATGTCAGAGTTACGCAGCCTAATAAAGGGCAGAGGGGTTAGAATTCAAAGCCAGGCAGCCTGGCAGAACATGGGGAAGGAGGGATCCCACCCCTTTCACTGGGTGTGAGAAAGGCAGGCGGCAGGAGCTCCCTGCTTATCTGAGGATAAACCAGCCTTCCCCTGAGCCTGCCAAGTACATAGCACACACTTCACGAAGAATCCCTGTCCTTGATGGTGTTACTGCCATTGGTACCTGCCATCCCCCCCCAACTCCATTGCTCCAGCCCTCATGGACTGACCTAGCCACCTGCCTGCCCCCCCCCCCCCGCTACTCCCAGCCCAGATCTAATGATCTGGCTCCTTTGCATGGGGGTGATTTTCAAGGCTCAGGTGAGAGACAGCGGGTGGCAGGCCCAGAGCATGTCCCCATTGACCTCAGGTCCATGGTCTCCAGGAACTGGAGAGCAGCTAGTGCATCAATGCCCAAGGCTGGGGAGGAGACAGCCCCGGGGCATGGTAGCTGTCCAGCCAGCATGACAGTTGAACCCATTGCTTCTGGGAAGCCTCTCTTTGTACTTGTTGGGTCATTGTACTATGTTCTCCGGAAGGGCCTGGGTGTGCCCTGGGAGGGCTGTCACCTGTCCAGCCACTATCCCTCTGCTTTTCCCCAGAGCAGAGCATAAAAGAGAATCCTTTGCTTAGATGTGAGGATGTGGGGCCAGCAGGGATGTGGGTTGGTGATTGCTTTTTTTGATACAGAGTCTTGCTGTATCACCCAAGCTGGAGTGCAGTGGCATCGTCACAGGTCACTGAAGCCTCCAACTCCTGGGCTCAAATGATTCTCCTGCCTTAACCTTCTGAGCAGCTAGGACAACAGGCACATACCACCACATCTGGCTTTTTTTTTTTTTTTTTTTTTTGGTAGAGATGGGTTCTCACTATTGTAAGGCTAGTCCTGGGCTCAAGTGATCTGCCTCAGCCTTCCAAAGTGCTAGGACTACAGGGATGATAGCTGTTGTACCTGCCTTTTTTTTTTTTTTTTAGAGACAGAGTCTCACTTTGTCACCCTCGGTAGAGTACTGTGGTGTCACAGCTTATAGCAACCTCCAGCTCTTGGGCTTAGGCGATCCTCTTGCCTCAGCCTCCCGAGTAGCTGGGACTACAGGTCCCCACCACAACACCTGCCTATTTTTTGTTGTTGTTGTTGCAGTTTGGCCAGGGCTGGGTTCAAACCCTCCACCCTTGGTATATAAGGCCAGTGCCCTACTCACTGAGCCACAGGCACTCCCCTGTACCTGCTTTTTTTAATAAATGTGTTTTTTTGGGAGGGAGGATTAATCCCAGGGATGTGAGGTTGCTTTTATAAACATGCTTTTTTTAAAAATGCCTTATTTTGGAAATAAGAAAGTTGCGGTTCAGAGAGGTTAAGTGACTTTCCCAGCGTCACACAGCTAGTGAGCTAACAGAGCCAGGTGGGCCTTATTATCCCCATTATATCCATGTGGAAACAGGCTCAGTGAAGCCACACTCTGGCCAGGGTCTCAGAGCCTGAGAAGAGGAAAGTCAGGAGTTGAGCATGGCTATGTGGGCCTGGACTGTGCTGGCACTCACCCTGCCTGTTCCCCCACAGGTGGCAATGGTGGAAGTGCAGCTGGACACTGACCATGACTACCCACTAGGGCTTCTCATTGCCTTCAGCATCTGCACCACGGTGTTGGTGGCTGTGCACCTATTCGCACTCATGATCAGCACCTGCATCCTACCCAACATCGAAGCAGTGAGCAACGTGCACAACCTCAACTCAGTCAAGGAGTCACCCCATGAGCGCATGCACCGCCACATTGAGCTGGCCTGGGCTTTCTCCACTGTCATTGGCACGCTGCTATTCCTGGCTGAGGTGGTGCTGCTCTGCTGGGTCAAGTTCTTGCCCCTCAAAAAACAGCCAGGCCAGCCGAGGCCCACCAGCAAGCCTCCAGCTGGTGGTAGTGCAGTTGCCAACGTCAGTGGCAGTGGTAGTGCTGGCGGTATCACCCCTGGCCAGGCAGCTGCCATTGCCTCCACTGCCATCATGGTCCCCTTTGGCCTGGTCTTTATTGTCTTTGCCGTCCACTTCTATCGTTCACTGGTCAGCCACAAGACGGACCGACAGTTCCAGGAGCTCAACGAGCTGGCCGAGTTTGCCCGCTTGCAGGACCAGCTGGACCACAGAGGGGACCACCCCCTGACACCCGGCAGCCACTATGCCTAAGCCCTCACAGCCTGGGCCCTCCAGAGCTTTGGCCTTATGACTTCCCTATGACCTTGTCTTGCCCCAGCCTTACAGACGGCCTGTGCAAGGGGCTGGGCTCTATCAGTGGGCAAAGAGTGGAGGGCAAAGGCTTTTTATAAAAGAAATTTCTGCACTTTGAAACTTTCCTCTAAGAGAATAAGCACTTCCTGTTCTTCCAGCTCCAGGTATACCTCCTATTAGGAGGTGGTGGGGGCCGGAGTGGGGCCAGAAGTTCCTTTTGTCCCCACTTCTCTCCCCTGTGCCAGTGCCACCTGGTGGTTCCTATCTTTTTCATCCACCTCGACCTCCCTCCTGGTCAGTGTTGAGAGTGTTCTCTGTGTGTGTGTGTGAGAGAGAGATTCATAAATACACTCTTAAGGGACGCCTTCTCGTGTCTTCTGTTTTCTGGGTCTGGCTTCTTCCTCCTGGTACCCTTTTCAGGTGATCCTCTAAGCAAAGTCTAAAAAAAACTTTTTTTGCCCAAAGTTTTATTTTGCAAAATTTCAAACCTACAGAAAGTTGCATGAATACTAACTGAAACATAGTACAACCTCCATGGTTGACCACCCCTCTACATGGACCACCTTTTTAAGTTGACCTAATTTTCATAGACCAGACATGCACCACATATGTGTATCAGTACAGTAGGCCTAGTTCTTTATGTCAACCACCTCTGTACGTTGACTGGTTTGTTACAGTCCTTTGGGTGGTCAACTTAACAGAGGTTCTACTCTATATAGTAATTTCTTATCATTTACAGGAGTTACAGTGTACAAAGTCACTGAATTAGCAGATATTGAATGTTACCCATAGGGGGTTAATTATACAGGCTTGGGGTTCCTGTGAGCTGGACATACTTTTCAACTGATCACTGTGTAACTTGTTTATGTGTATTTCTGTTTGAAGATATTTTAATATTGTTGACTCATTATTAACTTACAGCCAACAGCATTGTAATGTATGCCAGGATGTGTATTTTCTCCATAAGACACATAACCTTCCACTTAGGAACATTTGATAGCACTCTAGTGTTACACTTAGAGACCAGTTTAAATAGCAAAATCACCAAAAACATAAAAATGTGACAGTAAGTAGACTGAGTAAAGAATACTTGTTTAGAAAGTGGAAATGAGAACTCAAGAGTGTCACCTTGCTGGGCGGGGTGGCTCACGTATGTAATCCTAGCACTTGGGCAGCCTAGGCAGTTGGATTGCCTGAGCTCACGAGTTTGAGACCAGCCTAAGCCAGAGTGAGACCTTGTCTCAAAAAATAGCTGGGCATTGTGGCGAGTGCCTGTAGTCCCCACTACTTAGGAGACTGAGGTAAAAGAATCACTTGAGCCCAAGAGTTCGAGGTTGCTGTAAGCTATGATGCCACAACACTCTACCAAGGGCAATAAAGTAAGACTCTGTCTCAAAAGAAAGTGTCACCTTGTTCAACCTCAGGAAGTAGGTGCATTCACAGATAGTGAAGCCATGAATAAGGAGGATGAACTGTGTATACTTTTCCCCCTGAGCCATATACTTTTGTTATAGATATAGTCCTTCATGCCCAAAGACTTCCTCCGAAAACCAAGGACATTCCCCCACACAGCCACAATTCAGTGAACAAATTCAGGAAATTTGACATAGATAACAATTATCTAATATAACATTCCTGTTCTATTTGCCACTTGTCCCAATATTGTCCTTTCTAGAAATGCTTTTACCACTTCAGGATCATGTATTATAATGAGTGGTCACATCTTTTTTTTGTTGTTGTTGTAGAGATAGAGTCTCACTTTATTGCCCTTAGTAGAGTATCGTGGCATCACACAGCTCACAGCAACCTCAAACTCTTGGGCTTAAGTGATTCTCTTGCCTCAGCCTCCCAAGTAGCTGGGACTACAGGCACCTACCACAATGCCTGGCTATTTTTTTGTTGCAGTTTGGCCAGGGCCGGGTTTGAACCTACCACCCTCAGTATATGGGGCCAGCACCCTACCCCTACCCACTGAGCCACAGGCGCCGCCCCAGTAGTCACATCTTAAGTTTCCTTTAGTTTGAAACAGTTCCTCACCCATTGTCTTTTTTTTTTTTTTTTTTTGCAACAAGAGTCTCACTTTGTTGCCTTCTGTGGAGTGGTATGGCATCATAGCTCACAGCAACTTCAAACTCGGGCTCAAGCGATCCCCTTGCCTCAAACTTCCCAAAGTAGCTGGGAATACAAGCTCCTGCTGTGATCCCCAGCTATTTTTAGAGACAGGGTCTTGGTCTTGGTCTTGCTCTTGCTCAGGGTGGTCTCCAACTCCTGAGCTCAGGCAGTCCACCCACCTCGGCCTCCCAGAATGCTAGGATTACAAGCATGGCCCATCCTTTGTCTTTTGTAAGACAAATATTTTTGAAGAGTCAAGGCCTGCGGTTTTGTAGAATAGCCTCACAGTTTCTCTCCTGATTTCTCATTACTATAATTAGGCTGTGCATTTTGGCAGGAATATTATATAATTCTATGTCAAAATCCATTTGAAATAACAAGAGTAGGTTAACCATTATGTGCAGATGCACTATTCATCAACTCGGTTTAACCCTCAGCATCTCTATGAGATGGGTAGGTACTATTATCTCCATTTGACGACAGCAAAATTGATGTGCAAATAAATTAAAGTAAATTGGGTAGTGCCTGTGGCTCAAAGGAGTAGAGCACCAGCCCCATATGCCAACCTGCCAGAGGTGGCAGGTTCAAACCCAGCCCTGGCCAGAAACTGCAAAAAAAAAAAAAAAAAAAGAAATTAAGTAAATTG